CAAAATGTAAAGACCATCAAGGCTAGGAAGAAACTGCATCAACTAACGAGCAAAATAACCAGTTAATATCATCATGGCAGGATCAAGTTCACACATAACAATCTTAACCTTAAATGTAAATGGACTAAATGCTCCAATTAAAAGACACAGACTGGCAAACTGGATAAAGAGTCAAGACCCATCAGTCTGCTGTATTCAGGAGACCCATCTCACACGCAGAGACATACATAGGCTCAAAATAAAGGGATGGAGGAAGATTTACCAAGCAAATGGAGAACAAAAAAAAGCGGGGGTTGCAATACTAGTCTCTGATAAAACAGACTTTAAACCATCAAAGATCAAAAGAGACAAAGAAGGCCATTACATAATAGTAAAGGGATCAATTCAACAGGAAGAGCTAACTATCCTAAATATATATGCACCCAATACAGGAGCACCCAGATTCATAAAGCAAGTCCTTAGAGACTTACAAAGAGACTTAGACTCCCATACAATAATAATGGGAGACTTCAACACTCCACTGTCAACATTAGACAGATCAACGAGACAGAAAGTTAACAAGGATATCCAGGAATTGAACTCATCTCTGCAGCAAGCAGACCTAATAGACATCTATAGAACTCTCCACCCCAAATCAACAGAATATACATTCTTCTCAGCACCACATCGTACTTACTCCAAAATTGACCACGTAATTGGAAGTAAAGCACTCCTCAGCAAATGTACAAGAACAGAAATTATAACAAACTGTCTCTCAGACCACAGTGCAATCAAACTAGAACTCAGGACTAAGAAACTCAATCAAAACCGCTCAACTACATGGAAACTGAACAACCTGCTCCTGAATGACTACTGGGTACATAACGAAATGAAGGCAGAAATAAAGATGTTCTTTGAAACCAATGAGAACAAAGATACATCATACCAGAATCTCTGGGACACATTTAAAGCAGTGTGTAGAGGGAAATTTATAGCACTAAATGCCCACAAGAGAAAGCAGGAAAGATCTAAAATTGACACTCTAACATCGCAATTAAAAGAACTAGAGAAGCAAGAGCAAACACATTCGAAAGCTAGCAGAAGGCAAGAAATAACTAAGATCAGAGCAGAACTGAAGGAGATAGAGACACAAAAAACCCTCCAAAAAATCAATGAATCCAGGAGTTGGTTTTTTGAAAAGATCAACAAAATTGACAGACCACTAGCAAGACTAATAAAGAAGAAAAGAGAGAAGAATCAAATCGACACAATTAAAAATGATAAAGGGGATATCACCACCGACCCCACAGAAATACAAACTACCATCAGAGAATACTATAAACACCTCTACGCAAATAAACTGGAAAATCTAGAAGAAATGGATAATTTCCTGGACACTTACACTCTTCCAAGACTAAACCAGGAAGAAGTTGAATCCCTGAATAGGCCAATAGCAGGCTCTGAAATTGAGGCAATAATTAATAGCCTACCAACCAAAAAAAGTCCAGGACCAGATGGATTCACAGCTGAATTCTACCAGAGGTACAAGGAGGAGCTGGTACCATTCCTTCTGAAACTATTCCAATCAATAGAAAAAGAGGGAATCCTCCCTAACTCATTTTATGAGGCCAACATCATCCTGATACCAAAGCCTGGCAGAGACACAACAAAAAAAGAGAATTTTAGACCAATATCCCTGATGAACATCGATGCAAAAATCCTCAATAAAATACTGGCAAACCGGATTCAGCAGCACATCAAAAAGCTTATCCACCATGATCAAGTGGGCTTCATCCCTGGGATGCAAGGCTGGTTCAACATTCGCAAATCAATAAACATAATCCAGCATATAAACAGAACCAAAGACAAGAACCACATCATTATCTCAATAGATGCAGAAAAGGCTTTTGACAAAATTCAACAGCCCTTCATGCTAAAAACGCTCAATAAATTCGGTATTGATGGAACGTACCTCAAAATAATAAGAGCTATTTATGACAAACCCACAGCCAATATCATACTGAAAGGGCAAAAACTGGAAAAATTCCCTTTGAAAACTGGCACAAGACAGGGATGCCCTCTCTCACCACTCCTATTCAACATAGTGTTGGAAGTTCTGGCTAGGGCAATCAGGCAAGAGAAAGAAATCAAGGGGATTCAGTTAGGAAAAGAAGAAGTCAAATTGTCCCTGTTTGCAGATGACATGATTGTATATTTAGAAAATCCCATTGTCTCAGCCCAAAATCTCCTTAAGCTGATAAGCAACTTCAGCAAAGTCTCAGGATACAAAATTAATGTGCAAAAATCACAAGCATTCTTATACACCAGTAACAGACAAACAGAGAGCCAAATCAGGAATGAACTTCCATTCACAATTGCTTCAAAGAGAATAAAATACCTAGGAATCCAACTTACAAGGGATGTAAAGGACCTCTTCAAGGAGAACTACAAACCACTGCTCAGTGAAATAAAAGAGGACACAAACAAATGGAAGAACATACCATGCTCATGGATAGGAAGAATCAATATCGTGAAAATGGCCATACTGCCCAAGGTAATTTATAGATTCAATGCCATCCCCATCAAGCTACCAATGAGCTTCTTCACAGAATTGGAAAAAACTGCTTTAAAGTTCATATGGAAGCAAAAAAGAGCCCGCATCTCCAAGACAATCCTAAGTCAAAAGAACAAAGCTGGAGGCATCACGCTACCTGACTTCAAACTATACTACAAGGCTACAGTAACCAAAACAGCATGGTACTGGTACCAAAACAGAGATATAGACCAATGGAACAGAACAGAGTCCTCAGAAATAATACCACACATCTACAGCCATCTGATCTTTGACAAACCTGAGAGAAACAAGAAATGGGGAAAGGATTCCCTATTTAATAAATGGTGCTGGGAAAATTGGCTAGCCATAAGTAGAAAGCTGAAACTGGATCCTTTCCTTACTCCTTATACGAAAATTAATTCAAGATGGATTAGAGACTTAAATGTTAGACCTAATACCATAAAAATCCTAGAGGAAAACCTAGGTAGTACCATTCAGGACATAGGCATGGGCAAAGACTTCATGTCTAAAACACCAAAAGCAACGGCAGCAAAAGCCAAAATTGACAAATGGGATCTCATTAAACTAAAGAGCTTCTGCACAGCAAAAAAACTACCATCAGAGTGAACAGGCAACCTACAGAATGGAGAAAATTGCCTTGTCTACTCATCTGACAAGGGCTAATATCCAGAATACCAAAGAACTCAAACAAAATTGCAGAAAAAAATAAACACCCCATCAAAAATTAGGCAAAGGATATGAACAGACATTTCTCAAAGAAGACATTCGCTGCACAGCCAACAGACACATGAAAAATGCTCATCATCACTATTATCAGAAATGCTGGAAATCAAACACAATGAGATACCATCTCTCACACCAGTTAGAATAGAGTGTTAAAAAGTCAAGGAAGCAACAGGTGCTGGAGAGGATGTGGAGAAATAGGGCACTTTTACTGTTGGTGGGATTGTAAACTAGTTCAGCATTAACATGGAAAACAGTGTGGCGATTCCTCAAGGATCTGAACTAGATGTACCATATGACCCAGCCACATACATTTACTGAACCATACCCAAAGTTATAAATTATGCTGCTATAAAGACACCGCCACCACGTATGTTTATTTGCAGCACTATTCTAATAACGCAAAGACTTGGAATCAGCAAATGCATCAGTGACAGATTGGATTAAGAAAATGTATATACACCTTGGAATGCCACTATGCAGCCATAAAAGGATGAGTTGTGTCCTTTGTAGGGACATGGATGCAGCTGGAAACCATCATTCTTAGCAAACTGCTATCACAAGAACAGAAAACCAAACACCGCATTTTTCTCACTCGCAGAGTGGGAACTGAACAGCAGAATCCTTGAGACTCGGGAAGGGAACATCACACACAGAGGCCCTATCATGAGGAGGGAGGAGGGATTGCATTGGAGTTATACCTGATGTAAATAGCCAGTTGATGCAGATTTTGCTTCACACCAACATGGCAAATATCATATGTAACAAACCTGCGTTATTTTTATGTACCTAGCTTAAAAGTATAATAATAAAATAAATTAAAAAAAAAAAAAAGAAAAATAAAATACACAACAAAATTTAACTATTATATCAAAGATATATATCAAAAGAAAAAAATAAAATACACAACAAAATTTAACTATTATATCAAAGATATATCATACTTCTGTAAATTAACTAGATATTTAAACACAAAAATTTCAGATTGAATCACGAACCATATCAGAAACATAACTAAAATAAAATAATTCAGAAAAGCTGAAAACAGAAGGAGGAGCCAGTGCAGACTGGGCAAATATAAATAAAAAGATAAAACTTAGTCAAAAAATATTTTTGTATTTTTAGTAGAGATGGGGTTTCGCCATGTTGGCCAGGCTGGTCTCAAACTCCTGACCTCAGGTGATCTGCCCTCCTCGGCCTCCCAAAGTACTGGGAATACAGGTGTGAGCCACCACACCCGGCCCACTTCATTTACTTTTTTTGAGACAGAGTCTTGCTCTGTAGCCCAGGCTGCAGTGCAGTGGCATGATCTTGGCTCACTGCAATCTCTGCCTCCTGGGTTCAAGCGATTCTTGTGCCTCAGTCTCTCAAGTAGCTGGGACTACATGCACATGCCACCATGCCTGGCTAATTTTTGTATTTTTGTTAGAGACAGAGTTTTGCCATGTTGGCCAGGCTGGTCTTGAACTCCTGCCCTCAAGTGATCTTCTCGCCTCAGACTCCCAAATTGCTGGGATTACAGGTGTCAGCCACTGTGCCTGGCCTCTTCAAATATTTTATATCCTTATTTCTGAACCATATGAATATCTATTAAAATTAAATTATTTTTATAAGGTATTACAATATTAGGATATTGTTGCAATATTAGCTTATTATAGTATTTTCTTAAAAGTTATTACAAAAGGGACCTGGGTTTTAAAATGTAAGGAAGAGATGTACATACTGAGTTTCCTTTGTTTCTTTTTCCTCACTAATCCACACATCAGTAACAGTGCATGGCAAGCTCTCATCTTTGTTTGTTTCACTTGGCTCTTGTAGAACTTCTGTTTCCAAATCATCAGGTTCTGCAAAGGATAAACATAACAAGAAACATCTCAAAGCAAAATTTGTCAGGAGAATATTGAATAAACTTTCATAAATGATTGTTACCTAGTTTTAGGGTAATATAGTCATTAAAACAGAAAAATTAAATAGTCTATTTATAGGGTTTAAATCTTATTATTGTGTTAAGTCTCTAGTTCAGTTATTTCTGAAATGACAGACTACTTCTTTTGCCTTTTACTGTAATAAAAATGCTCAAAGGTAATATGGTATACTCTCTATTTTTCACCATTATGTAAAATTTTCTCTTCCATTAAAAATTTAGTCATATATAAATTTGTTTAGAGAAGGTATAAAAACAGTTTAAAGAATAAAGATATTTGTGGTTAGAAATATGGAAGAATAGACTGTGATATTACTGATTAGTAACTAAAATAAAAATTTCAATCTTTAAAATCTATCTTTTAATAGTCAAAAAAGAAAAACTATTACCTGGACTTTCACAATGATATTGAGAACATAATTGAATGGCACTAAAAATCTATTTTCTTAGACGTTCAATAATTTTTTTTTTTTTTTTTTTTTTTTTGAGACAGCGTTTCACTCCCATTGCCCAGGCTGGAGTGCAGTGGTGTGCTCTTGGCTCACTACAACCTACACCTCCCAGGCTCAAGTGATCCTCCTGCCTCAGCCTCCTGAGTAGCTGGGACTAGAGGCACACACTACCACACCAGGCTAATTTTTGTATTTTTAGTAGAGATGGGGCTTCACCATGTTGCCAGGTTGGTCTTGAACTCCTGACCTCAAGTGATCCACCTGCCTCAGTCTCTCAAAGTGCTGGGATTAGAGGTGTGAACCACCATGCCTGGCCTGACCCTCAGTTAACATCAAGATGTCACCTCTGTTTTCTGGCAGTGCCTCATTTTTCAGTTGGTTGATATTTTCCAAAAGTGAATAGAGATGAGAAGAGTATTTGTTAACTTCTCTCTTTCCTTTCCAATTAAGATTATCAATACTACCCTGTTTAAGCCAACACTATCCCTCCTACTTCCCCTGGAATATAGACATACTTCTCCATTTTTAAAGCTTCCAATTATCTGTCTTACTTGGAAAGACAACTGATATTGTACTAAACTTTTAAGTTTTTATCTTTTATTTAAATGATTATTTTGGTCATTCATTCAAGGTAAGCACTTGGGGGCAAAATCCTTTTTTATTTTTTAATGAATAACTCTGTTTCCTAGCACTTTAAGCTGTATCATTATCAACTTATTCTATAAACTTGACTTATGACTGTATTACCTGCAAAGCCTAGAATATTTACTCTCTGGTCTATCAACTCCTGCACTAGGCTATACAGCTTCCATAGTATTCCTAATATTCTTTTCTTTTCTTTTTTAAAGAGAAGACATAAGATACTGTTTTAGTTCAGGCTACTATAACAGAATATCATAGACTGGGTGGCATAAACAATATAAACTTATTTCTCAGAGTTCTGGAGGCTGAAGGATCCAATGTCAGCGTGCCAGCATGGTTGGTTCTAGAGGGCCCTCTTCCTGTTTTGCAGATAACCTTTTCCTCCTTGTATCCTTATGTGGTAGAAAGCAGAAAGCTCTCTGGCCTATTCTTATAAGGGCACCCATCCCATTCATGAGGGTGCCACTCTCATAACCTAATTACCTTGCAAAGACTCCACCTCCAATACCATTACATCAGGGATTAGATTTCAACATATGATTTTTTTTTGGGGGGTAGGGAGGGGAACAAACTTTCATTCCATAATGATACTAGTAACTATGGTTCTAATGAATAAGATTATTTAAGTTACTCTGGTGAATTAAGGATGGTCACATGTTGCAGGGTTTCTGGTTTCCTCTCAACTAGAGGGAGCTCTGTTTCTCCTCCTCTTTAATTTCAGCTGGCATGCTGATTCCTTTGAGTAATGGAATAGAGTGAAAGTGATGCTATGCCAGGTCCACGCTGAGCCTTCAAGAGAACTGGGAGCTTCTATTTGATACCTGGAAGCCTGAGCCATCATGAAAATAGTTTATTCTGAAAGACCACATTGCAATGCCATGAGACTAAAATGAAGGAGAGGGAGCCGGAAAAGCCCCGCCAGTATGCCAGGCATGGGAGTGATATCATTTTGCGTCTTCCAAAAAAGCCCAGCTGATGGCTGAATACCACTCAGCAATACCAGCTGATGCTACATGAAGCAGAAGAACCTCCAAATTCCTGACTCAAAAAATTGTGAGATAACATAAAATAAAAATAAAAATTGTTTTTTATTTTGGAGACAAGTTCTCACTCTGTCACTCAGGCTGGAGTGCAGTGGCATGCTCATGGCTCACTGTAGCCTCAAACTCTTGGGCTCAAGTGATTCTCCCACCTCAGCCTCCCTAGTAGATGGGACTACAGGCATGCAGCACCACATGCAGCTAATTTTCATATTTTCAGTAGAGATGGGGTACTGTCATGTGGCCCAGGCTGGTCTTAAACTCCTGGGCTCAAGCGATCTGCCAGCCTTGGCTTCCTGAAGTGTCAGGATTACAGGTGTGAGCCACCAAGCCCGGCCTAAAATTGTTCTTTTAAGCTACTAAGTTTTAGGAGTAATTTGTTTTGCAGCAATAGATAACTAAAACAGAATTACATATCCAGAAGTGGGGAGCTGACGTGAAAGCCTGTGTACACTGGCTTTGGGACTGTGGAGCAGGCAGAAATTGGAAGGGCTTCAGTGACATTGTTGGTGAGAGACTGGCCAGTGAAAAACGGTTACTGGAGGCTGGAGAAAAGGGGATTCTTGTTCTACAATGGCTGAAAGTTTGGTAACTGCAATAATGTGGAAGATAGTAAATGTACTTTATGGATCCAGTAGTCTAGCTAAGGAGTTATCAAAGCAGAACATTCAAAGTGACAGCTGCTTAATAACTTATCATAAAGAACAAGAAAAGAGATTAATTGAAGAAAAAAGTTTAGCTTATGAGCAGAATTTAGAAGAGATACAGAGAGTCCAGGATAATTCCTTCTAGGCAACAAAAGCTTCTTAAAGGAAGACATGGCCTCAAGACAAAGACTAAATTCAGGACAGTAGGGTGTGGCCTCAGGGCAAAGATGAAGTCAAGGTTGTGCCCATAAGATCTGTTATGGCACAGAAAGATTTAAAGGCATGCCTTGCAGACCCTCTTTGCTAGACAAAGGATTTCTAAGAACTCAAGAGCACTATCTTACAGTATCCTTATAGATAACTGAAGGTAGAAAAGAGTCCATCTCAGAAACATGAGTGGCTTTTGTTAACCACAGTGAATATCAGTAATGTTCACATAAACCCACAAATTTACTTAGAAATTCTGCTTGTGGAAGCACTATAAGCTCTGACTGAAGGGGACAAGCATAGTCCAAAACAGAAGAGCCCTTGAGCACACCAAGCTTTGGTGCAAGGAAGCAGGCTGAGACTGCTATTCCTGGTTGGATTTTAGAATTTCTAGGGACCAGTGACTGCTATCTGCTTCCCATCTTCCTTGTTTTTGAAAAGGTGTCTCAAAGATTGTTTCACCATTGTATGTTGTACGTATGGAAAACAGGGAACTTATTTTTTTTTTTACTCACAGGTCTTCAGATTGAGAATCACCGTACTCGAAGACCTGTAGATGAGAAAACCCATCTGCACTGAGGCTTGATTTTGTCATATTAAACTCTGAGCTAATGTCATGAGATGAGGCTTTGAGAAGGCGTGAGTGGATTTTGCATATGGGAGGAATGAAAATAATTTTTGGTCAGAGGGCCGACTATGGCAGATTTAGGACAGATGCAAATTCTTTGACACCCTTCCCATTGAGAGGTGGGTTCTGTTTCCCCTCCCTTTGAATCCAGGTTGGGCTGTGACTGCTTTGACTAATAGAGCATGACAGAAGTGCTAGTTCTGAGATCAGCTTTTAAGAGTACAAGCCGCTTTCACCTTAGCATCTGTGAGCCCCGGGCCATCATATAAGAAGGCAGACTATCCTGCCAGAAAGAGTACACAGAATAGCCCTGAAACCACATGAAGAGGGAGAGGGGCCCAGCTAAGCTGTACTTGCCAAGATAGCAGTGAAGCTTTTTGGGACCCTTCAGACCAGCCTAGCTGCCAGCTGACCAGCACCTATTGATCTCTGAGATAAAGGCACATGAATTAGGAAAAATCACATTAGCCAAGTCTTGACTCAATTCCTGGCAAATAAAATCATGAGATGAAATGGTTGGTGTTTCAACACTAAGTTTTGGGGTGACTTGCTAGGCAGTCATTAAAAAAAGACCAATTACTAAAAACATAAAAATACTGAACATAATTTGAGATAAACTACCCAAATATATACAAATTTTGATAATCTATTTATAAAGCTTGTGAAATTTAAGTTTTTACTAAATCAAATATAGCTCATTTTGACTCATTAGAACATACCTTCTAAATTTCCTTCCAGTTTCAATGACATCTGTGGAGATGCCTCACTAAACTCGGGGCTTTTTGTCTCAACAGGAGAATCAACAATAGCTGATGGGTTTATTTCATGTGAAATACATTGCACTTTTTTTTCTTCAGTAATTAAGGGTTTGTACTTTTCCCCTTCAGGAGAAATATCTGTGAAAACAAAAAATAAAAAATCATGCTAGTTCTCAAAATGACGAATTTTATCTGTAATGGCATTTGGGGCAAAGTTCAAAAAGCTGCATTATTGCAACAGGTAATTACTAGTCAAGCTCTGTTACATATTAGAAGTTAATAAGTGACTACAGTATATGAAAGTCAAATTTCATTTCAATTGTACATAAATTTCTATGGTGGTTAAAATGTTTACCGTCTTTCCGCTTTTGGTAAAATTAATATGTGTATTAGAATACTATTTTTAAAATTATTAACTAGTGGATTCTGTTTATATAAAGTAACTCCTAGTTACTTCCAACTGCTCTGAAATTCTCCACACTTTCAATTGGTACCAGGAGAGAAGAGGTTTACCTCAGAACATCCTAAGACAGGTTCAAAAAAGAATAAAAAGAAAAAAAAAATTACCTCAGAATAACTTAATGCAGTTGTTTACCACCCTGTCACTCCTATTAATTTGTTGAAGATTTTACTTTCCAGGTTACAAGTGCCCCAACACTAACTCTGTCATAACTAATTTAGGTGATTTCTATATCTGTATCAATAATCCTTCCAATAGGTAGGCCTCTTGGTTTGTTGCACTTCACTCTACCTCAGTCTTCTTCATCCTATCTCCAGCACTCCAATGCTCATATCTTAGAGACTTTGTCATTCATTATAGCCTCTTGAAATGTCCAGTGGTTAGTATTCCACCCTCTAATCTCTAACACTCGTTTCCCACTTCTCTCCCTCTACAACTCCAACTCTAAAAAAATTTTACCCTGAAAGTACCCACAATGCACTGATCCTGCTACATTTTCTGTCATCTCCATTAAAATCCATAGAAATTCCATCATATAGTCATTCTCTTGTGCATCCTCAACTCATTGTATTCACATGGCAAAACCTCAACTTTGCATAAATTCAATTCTCTGCCTACTATATCTGCATACACATGGTTAAAATGGTTGAAGAAAAACAGTGATCCTTGCCCATTGGTCTCAATTTCAATTTATGGTTTCTAAAGCCAAGTAGGCCCTTTGTGTTGGCTGCAGTCCTTTTATAACACTGGGTTAGCAGGAACTATCCTTAGCTCAGTTAATTTCCAGAGCAAAAAAGTTGTTCATCAAGTATTTATAAGTTGTTTTACTCTTTACTTCTTTCTAGTCAACAGAGAACAAAACTATAGTGTTGCAAATGTTTCAGAATCATTTCCCCGCACTGTGCTTCAATAAACTCCCTGCCAAAACGAATGGACTGTAGTAGAGATCACATCTGTGTTTTTCCTCCTTCAGCCCTACCATTCTGCAATAAAATCATGTCTATTAATACCAGGAATCGGGATACCATATTGCATTATTATTATTAAATGCTTTAGTGGGTTCTAACAAATACAGTAAGAATAGGAAATAATCAAAATATAGGAGAAAAATCTGTTTCTTGTCACTGATGATAAACCTGCACATTTGGAACATCTAAGATCTCAAGGAAGAAAACTAAATAGATTTAGTAAAAATAATCAGTATGGTGTCCAGACATAAAATTTTCTATCTATATATAGAAAGAAATAGGGGAAGGAAGAGGAGGATGTTAGGATCTCTCTCTTTTTTTTTTTTTTTTCTGAGACCAGAGTTTTGCTCTGTCACCCAGGATGGAGTGCAGTGACGTGATCCCAGCTCATTGCAACCTCCACTTCCCGGGTTCAAGCAATTCTGCTGCCTCAGCCTCCCTAGTAGCTGGGATTACAGGCACACGGCACCATGTCCTGTAATTTTTTATATTTTTAGTAGAGACAGGGTTTCGCCATGTTGGCCAGGCTGGTCTCAAACTCCTGACCTGAAATGACCCGCCTCAGCCTCCCAAAGTGCTGGGATTACAAGCACGAGCCACTATGCCTGGCTGGATATCCATACTAAACAAAAATTCTTAAAAAAATAGCAAAAAGCAATGAAATATAAAAAAGGGAAGAGAATATAAACAGGCAATTTTCAAAGCAGCAAATCAAAATAGTCAATAGAATGCAACATAATGAAATTCACTCACAATCAGAAAAAGAAAAATAAAACCAATGAAATACATACCACATAAAAATGGTAAAAATTTTTTTAAAGGGATATTACATTTCAGGCTATTTAATATTTAAAAATCAATCTATGAAATTTGCAACATTAATATAATAAAAGAGAAAAATTATATTATATTAATTGATTTGGAAAATGGGTTTGGAGAGAGTTTCAGTATGGCTGACCACAGACACCTGGCACTTGCCTGTTCCACAGAGAAGTACCAAAACAGCAAGTAGATAATAACACATTGAATAGAGCATCTAAAAGAGAATGCAGGAATTCAGCAGGAAAGGGATGGGGAACCTCTGAGGCATGGAAGGAGAGGGAAGCGAAGCAGTTGCCCTGGTTAGGACTGGCTAGAAGCCAGGAGAAACACCACAGAGCGACTTGCCCGAGTGCAGGAAAATGGTAAGAGAGATCCCCAGTGGTCGACATTCTCACCATGGACTCCTGCAAACCCAGCCATGACTCCTCAGCCCTCAAGCACCCTGAGACTAGTAGAGGATGCCTGGAGTCAAAGTGATGCATTATTCTAGAGAGGAAGTTTGTGCTGGAACTCACACAGCATCCTGAGACCCAAGCAGCTGCCACATGGTGCCACTTTGAGAACCCAACCCCTACCAGATAACAACCTGCCCCAGGGCTCAACAGGCCCTGAATCTCCACAACCCTGGAGCCCTACTGACATCTACTCCATGTCCACCTATAGATTTGCAACCTTGTGACATGAGCTGGACTCAACTGTGCAGCCGGGTCCCTAGTCCTCTAGCCCACATACAGTCCTACACCACAGGAAACGGGTGGTGTAGCACATTAGGAAGGCTGCCCCTGGGAAAAAGGCAGCTGAAGCATGTGCTCCCCAGAGCCTGGGAGCTGCCTTCCTGGAGTTGCTGGCACTGATAGCAACCCTGCCTCCCCTAGCACCTGGGTGAATGTGCACTTGTGTGCACCTTCAGGCTCATGGAGACAGGCATGCTTGGAGCCTGAGGTCAGGCCTGCGCCACTCACTGATGCCACCACCTGAGAGTGCTACCTGGTAGCTGGGAGATTGATCTGCCCCATGCATCAGAGCTGGCATTAGCAAGCATGTCATCCAGGACTGGAGATCAACCCACTATGCCTGCTGATGCTGGTGCCTGCACACACAGTCAGGGGGCCTGAGGACAGGCCCTCCTGCCTACCACCACCACCACTGATTTTTGAGTGTGCCGTCTGGGGTCCTGGGGGTAGAACTGCCATGCTAAGCACAACCTGTGCCTGACAGCACCACCACAGGGCTTGAAGACAGACCCACCCTGCCCTGCTCCTGCCTTGGCAAAGGCCTGTGAGCATCATTCAGGGTCACCGGGATCAATAAGCCCTGCCTACTGCTGCTAGTGCCTGTATAAGCCTTCCAGGGGCCTGGGAAAGGGCCTGCCCAGCCTGCCAGCACCCACACACATCATCTAGGGTCTGGAGATCAACCAGTCTTGTCCAACATAAACTGTCTGCACATGTACCATACACGGGCCCAAGGACAGGCTTGCTCAACCTGGCGATGCCCCCAATAGTGTTATGTGTATTGTCCAGAGGTCTGGAGATCTACCCACCTCTGTTTGCCACCATAGATGCCCAAACATACCTTTCAGAGGGCCCTGCCACCATCCACCTGCATGTGCCACCTAAAGGCCTGGAGACTAGTCCTCTCAGTTCACTGCCACCACTGCTGGTGCCCATGAGTGCTGATGATGGACCCAGGGACTAGCCCTGCCCACCTGGCCCACCATTGCTACTGCTGACACCCAAGTAAGCCATGTGGTGGCCCAAGGATTACCTGGACCCACTATCACCAGTGCCTGAACACGTACCTGCATTATCAGCATGCTGCCAAGACTGGGGCCTGAGGACTGGCTCAACTGGCTCCCTGTCCACAGTAAATCCTTACCAGAGTCTCCACTAACAACCACAACCTAAGACACACAGGAAATCACAGATACCACTGACACTGATTACAGCCAAATAAATCATATGAAGACTGAACTACTCTGCCCACCCAAAATCAAAGCCAAAACACCCTACTCAACCAACACCATGGATACTTATACGGGAAAAAGTCTGCCTATGAAAGCCAATCCGTAAAATCGGAAGAAATGATTATTACAATAGATGCACAGATATCAATATAAGGACACAAGAAACATGAAACATGAAAAGTAAGGAAACATGATACCTCCAAAAGAACATGGTAATTCTCCAGCAAGATGCCAACAAAAATCAATTTATGAAATGCTTGAAACAATTCAAAGTAAAATTTAAGCTAAGTGAAGTACAGGAGAACACAGATAAATAATACAAAGAAATTAGAAAAACAATTCATGGTCTGAATGAGAAGTTCAATATAGATAGATATCATTAAAGATAACAAAACAGTGACTCACAAATGTAATCCTAGTGCTTTAGAAAAGGAAGGCAGAAGGACTGCTTGTAGCCAGGAGTTTGAGACCAGTCTGGGCAACACAGTGAGATACTGTGTCTACAGGAAATTCTTAAAAAAGTAAGTCAGGTGTGGTGGCATGTGCCTATAGCCCTAGCTAGTCTGGAAGATAAGGTGGGAGGATCTCCTGAGTCCAGGATTTGAGGTTGTAGTGAGCTATGTTTGCACCAATGTACTCTAGCCTGGATGACAGAGAGCCTGTCTCAAAGTAAAAATATATACATTTTTTCTCTGTCTTTCATAATTTGAGACCAGCCTGGGCAATATGGCAAAACTCTATCTCTACACAAAATAAACAAAATTAGCCAAGCATGGTGTCACATGCCTGTAGTCCCAGCTACTTGGGAGGCTGAGATGGGAGGATCCCTTGAACCCAGGAGGTCAAGGCTGCAGTGAGCTGTGATGTGATCATGGCACTGCCACTGCACTCCAGCCTGGGTGACAGAGCCCTGTCTCAAAAA